GAGATAAACGGACGGCTCACAAGCAACAGAGACAACAACCAACAGCGAACCAAAACAAACAAGAAATCAAATCGAAAAACAAGTTCATACCGCAAACGTGCTGATTGCCTTTTGAGCACCCGCGTTTGGGAATTCATGCCCTGATACTCCAGGAGGTTTCACTTCCGAATTCGATTTGCATCCTGGACAGATCATCCTGACTCCCTTCGCCCCGCCGGGGGTTGTCATCTGAAAAGAAATCAACACAGGGGGAGAGGGTTCTTTACGTCAGGCCTTGTTCCGATGCTCGTTTCTGTTCAGGCGGTGTCCCTTGTATGAGTTGAGAGGGCTAATCACTGACAGAGACTCTTGAGTGCGGCGGCGGCAGGTCTCACCAAGAGCAAAACTTCCCACCAACAAAACAGAGTTCGGCGCTTTCTGTCAGAACTTCTGAAGGTTCCCTTCATGCAAACTTCAAACAAGAGTTGTGGGCTTGCCGCAGCGGAAGGGAGGGGGGCATACCGACCAAGAACGTCGACATTGGCATGAGCTGATAGATCATGAGCGTGCGCAACACTGTAATCCGTGACAACCAAAATGCACTATTATCAACAGAAAACTAGTCACAACAACAATTTGAATGTGCGACGACTTTTTGTGTTTGTTGTTGTGTTTTTCATCTTTCAGCACGCACCTTTGGCACGCAGGCGCAACATCTTACAAAGGCCAAAAGGGTCGGGTACCGTCATCGGCTCCTTCGCTCATTCATGCACTTGCCTGGAAAGCTGGAATGCCGACCAATTCTTCCAAGAAGACCACCTCGTGCACGTAGAGAGCGAACACAACTTGTGTCGTCGCGAAAACGGCCATGGCCGACTCCTTCAAAAGCACATCAATGATCTCTCCGTTCTCGACCCGGGTACTCATCGCTGGTGTCACTTTCGCCGCTTTCATCGCCGCAGCGGCGCGCTCCTCCAGACTGTCTGCGGGCCGGCATATCGGGNGCATTAATGATCTCTCCGTTCTCGACCCGGGTACTCATCGCTGGTGTCACTTTCGCCGCTTTCATCGCCGCAGCGGCGCGCTCCTCCAGACTGTCTGCGGGCCGGCATATCGGGGCGTCAGGGAAACGTCAATTAAACGCTGCCGCTACATACTTGGGCGGCAGATGCCGCTCCTTCATCCACTGTGGTGGAGTCAGCGTGCAGTTGCCGGCTATCTTGGGGAGAGTGTCCAAGACCGTCCTCGCTTGTTTCGCGATGGCAGTTTGTAACTCGACATTCATCCATCGCTCCCGATCTCCCTCCATTGCCTCTTCCTCCGGCGCTTCTTCTCCGTCGACGCACTCTTCATCTTCGTCCATGGGTTCTTCCTCCGCGTATCTATCCTCCGCGTATCTACTGGATGCCGACTACGAGGCGCCCACGCCGCATGGGTCACCGGCGCCCACGCCACGTACGTCATCGGCTGAAGATCCGGCACCAGCTGTAACCGTCTGTCGTGAAGTCTAGAAACTTGACCAGAATTACAACATGATGAAAAATTCCTAGGCGCCCCCGCCGCCGCCGACGTCGCCGCCGCCCCTCTACCTTCAGATATGCCACCCGACAGTGTTGCTGCTACTTCTGCTCCTGCTGCGTGGGGGACTCCAGTTCCAGCGGATGCTGCTGCGGCTGCTGCTGCGGCTGCGGCTGCTACTTGTGAGCTCATGTANCGCTGCTACTTCTGCTCCTACTGCGTGGGGGACTCCAGTTCCAGCGGATGCTGCTGCGGCTGCTGCTGCGGCTGCGGCTGCTACTTGTGAGCTCATGTATGGATTCTGGGAGCTACCACGGCTTGAACTCGGCTCTTTCCCACCCACGCCTCTGTTGCCCACTGTGCCGTGGCTATCGTAACTTACTCGCCGCTCGAGCCTCTCCTCCGATTGATCGCAATGAGCG